ATCTCAAAGCTCTCATGAACTGGATATAATAAGGAACAATTTTTATGTTATACATTCATGTAGTGGTTACTAAATACACGAGGGTGAGATGTGTGCTAGTGCTAGATGATCTCTGACCTGGTTCTTCACTGGAGTCACCATGCCCTTCTTGCGGTAGTCAACGATTTGGGAAGCTTGGACACCTTGTCATCCAGAGCCATGGTGAAGCTGCGCTCGTGGTCCATCGGGACCAGCAGGCCGTCATCTTCTCGGCCACTTCCTCTGACGTCTGCATGGACAGAGAAACAATTAACATTTTGCATCATGTTCTGGGGATGTTTCTGATGCTTTCATTCAGATACTTTACAAAGATTGCAACAGCAGGTTGAGTTTATTGATCAAAACATTACAAGAAATAAAGTCCAGAAGTTAAGGGTCACAGATTGTATCACCCTGACGCGGAGGGTATGAAACTTTCCTTGCCTGGAAGAATTTTGTGAGACAGAATGTTTTGAGACAGATAAGAGAAGAGGCAGATATGATTTATTTTTAGACATAAGACCACAAAAGTAAAAGGATATGAGAGAGGATTTGTTTCAGCAGGGTGATGGAGGATGAAAAGTATTTCATGGAAAGGTGGGTTTAACACAGTTTACTCCAAAGTGAAATGTCATTTTTCTGTACTGTGCCAATGCCAAAAAGGGACACCATGCTTATGCAGGCATAAAAGTGCAAATAAAAATCTACACAATTTACAAAACAATGCCAATAAAGCAGAAGCACGAGGAGTATGAAAAGCAAAAGAGGAACTGAAATAAGTAACTCCTGCGTAGTTTGCTGGCTTTCACAGTGAAGCTGCTGGTTATACGATATTTAGCAATTGCTTTAAAAGAATCCTGCCATTAACTATCATCAAATGCCCCAGTGCTTTCATTACAGCTCAGTCTGTAAGCAGGAAGATCATTAACGGAAGAAATACAGACCATCTGTTAATTTCTTTCATTTCACTTAAGTGCTTTCAGTCAAAATGAAAATGGAAAACACCATTTTCCCACCACCTGTTCTACATAAACAGAAATTGGTCATTTATCCGAATTTGAATGTGTATACATGTTCCTGTCACTAATAAATAAGCCCAAGCACTGGCGTGTTGTATTTTATGCATTTTACTTTCCACCAATTTTTATGTACAGCTTGTTCATCCGGCATCTTGATGCAAAAACAACCGTCAGTCATGACCCACTCTGCCATACAAGTCACTGACAACAGGTTTTAAGGACAGCAGACCCATTTTGTTTGACCTCAGTGGGCTGCAGCATTCATGAGAAAGCATATAACTGCTGAGATGACAGCAGCTAAAAGCCGCAACTGCTGATTAAATTATGGATCTCTGACACTTAGGAGTTTTACTTCAGAAAGTTTTACTACACACCTGAAAATGTAGCACGTTTAGTTTCATGTGTATAATGTGAGACTGTGGGAATGTGGGAGAATGAAGCAGAACTTTCCCTAATGAATGTGCTGAGCAGAAAGATCAATTATTACTAGCTACATTTGCTAATGGCAGCTGGATCTCAGCTTGTGCTTTGGATACACAGTGAGACTGTTCAGACTGTAGTTGAAAGCGGCTCAATGCTTATTGATTTCCAGAGCTGCAACGATTATTGATTAATCAGCTAATAATAATTTTAGTAATTCTTATGGGCCAAAATACAGATACTGCCATATGGATTAGGCTGGGATCAGACTACATCACATTGATGTCTTTCAAGATGCTCATTACACTCAGATTAGATGATTATAGCACCGCTGATTTAGTGAGAAACATGTCAGACCATACACCAAATATCAACCAATCTTAGTTTGTGTTTTTTTTTCTTAACTTGCGCACCATGCTAGTCTTTCTGTCAGGGCCTTGTGAAGAGTCCTACAGACAGATGTGGTTGCGTTCCACTATGACACACACTACATGGATAAATCCGATGTCTGCAATTGGGTTATGGATTGGATTATTTGACTGATATCATGTACTCTGGCATTAAACAGGTTGAGATAAGATAGGAGAAGTGTGGCCTCTGGCATGCAGAAGCGCCTCAGACTTACCATGTCGCCCAGGTGGTTCATCCCCAGCTCGTAGGAGTGTATACCCAGCGCTGCCTCCTCATTGTGGGCTTCAATCATACGCATGTTCTTCTCCCAAATGGCCCTGCGGATCCCCTCTTCATCCTGAGACAGACAAGCACATGTGTCACTTTGACAGAATCACCCTTCTTTAAGAAGCTTTCAAATTAGCCAGATGCTGTGTAGAATGAGATTAGCAGGAACAAACAGTGGAGTCTATGTCTGGCTTCCATAAACACCTGAACACAAAGTTGACAGTATCACCTGAAGGTATCATTAAACAACTGAGTAGCGTATGGGATATTCAGACAATTTAAATCTGTATTTCTGACATTTGCAGGAGGCGTTAAAACATTTTATAGCAGATTAAGTCCAGAAATGTGAACTCTGGAGGATCCAGTACCTCAAAAGGGTCGCAGTTATGGAGTCACCAGCCATTTTCTTTTAGCTGACAGTGATGGGCTTCATAAGGAGGTCATAACATATGCAGATTCTTTTATCTCCTGTATTTCAATCTTAAGTTTTTAAGTTTCCTGTCCTTCCTTCCTTCCTTCCTTCCTTCCTTCCTTCCTGTGTTAACACCTGACAGCTCAAAGAAATTAATCTGGGCAAATAGGGCAATTTTACGTTTTAATTGGAAAGGAAGCCTGTCTGTATTAGAGCCCCGTGTTCATTAATTAGGCCAATTAAACAGTGCACTTCCACATAACAATGTTCTCACGTACAGTTTTTCAGCAACATAACTGTCCAATGCAATTGTAATTTGTGTTAAAATATTACTTTATCCTTTATTTTTAGAAAATTTCCATCTGTACGTATGTGTCATGATAAGAGACTGACTTTCATTTATATGCACGCTGTTGACATCTGTCACAACATGGCAATAAGATACATCCAAGTGCTTGTTGGTTACCTAAAACATCCATGCTCTACTTAGTATTCGTGGTCTTAACAACTATTAGCATAACAACAATCATTATTTCTGTCTTGATATCCATTCCAGTAATGGAAAATGCAAATGATGCACAGTCTATTACAGTGATGTCAGTTCAAGGAGGGTTGAATTAGAGGAGCTGTTGGTGGAATACTGATTAAAGTTACCATTAGAGAGAGAGAGAGTCTTTTCTGCTGACTACACAGGAATGTAAATAATACAGCACTAATGATCATATGAACCCACACTGTCAAATAAATGCAAGCATGAACAAGCAAATACAGATAAAAATAACTTAAACACACACTACTGTACATGAACCCAGGCACATGCAGCACTCTAAATAAACTGCACACATGCGTCTTTACACACACAGAAACACACACACACACACACACTCCACAGCTGTGGAGTGGTGACCTCTAGCCGGCGGCGAAGAGCGACGTGAAAACAGATGCTCACTGAGCGGTCAGGAGGTAAATTTGTGGTCGGCTCTGGTTTAATGCCAGCTAAACTACATTTCCTTCCTTTTTTACAGCCAGGAAGTAGAACAAAGAAAAGAAGAAGACTGAGCATTTTAGCAACAGGGAAACTGGAAACTTCACTCGCTTTGACTCTATATTTTGAGTCAAAGGTAAGTGGCGTTTCCACTCTCATTTGAAATCTTAATTAAGGAGATGTTTTTGCCCATGGGATTTCAGTTTATAAGCCAGGTAGGTATTTCTGTATTTGCCTGGTTAAGCCTTAACAAGACCTCTGAATCAAAGTAAATAAATAGACAAAGGCATTTTTGCAAAAGTGGGTGTACAGCCTTTTGAAAATGAACTTTTCTGAATTATTGGCTGAGGATGAGAAAGACTAAGTCACTGTAAATTCTCATTGTGCATGTCCTGCTTTACTTTTGATTCTCTGTTCTCTAACTCCATCTGTCTTGCTTCTCTGGGCCAAAACAAGGAAGTAGAGCAACCAGTGACGGCCTCACATTTCTTGCTTTTCTTTGACATTGTTCATATTATTTACAGTACCGAGTGTCTTGTATATCTGGAAAAAGAAAAACACGGTGATACGTTTAAACATATGTGTTTAAGATTTGCAGTTGATGATGTTAGATGACATTGATTCTTGTTTTGATAGAGGATATTTCAACTGTATTGTCAGACGTTAGTGATGTGGGATGTGGATCTTGGAGGGTTAGGGTATCTCTTCCACATCACCAAAGTCAAACCAGAAAGAATAATGTTTTAAAAAGATAGAGCTTTTTTGTTTGTTGACATCTGAAAATTGACTGTGTATGTATATGACCCAAATTATGGCTAGCCTCTTCTTTTTAAATGAATTTGTTTCCACGCTTCGTTAATATTCAGATTCTAATCATATTGGTGGCGACTGAAACTCTGTAATCATAACTAGAGCAGAACAAAAGGGAACCATGTTATCTTGGCTATTACATGTCTCCCAAAATTCATGTTTGTGTTCTATTAATTTGCAACATCAAATGTGTTTTGAAAGAAAAGTATTTCCGCCTGGCTTACGTCACAATATATGGATACTGAACATATTTGTATTTATAAGTATTTATATGATTTTCCAACAACATCAACCCTTGCAATACATTATTCCACTCACTATAGCAACTGGTGGTGAACTGCTGGTCAAAGAATAAATAAGCTTTTATGTTTATGATGAGGCACTTACAGCACTTGGTTGGTTGTTGGGGCACTTTGGGGAAAACAAAAACAAATACTCCCTCTGCGAATGACCAATAGATATTACTCTCTACCAATTGAGCAACAAAAGGAACTTGACAAGGTTGCCCATAGCACTTTTTGTCCATTTTTAACCGCTTGCCTCTGCAATTAATCAAAACACAAACCCAAATTTCAGATGTTCCAGTTGGTGTGAATAGTCACAAAATCTGACTAACCAACCGTTTACCTTGCTGTTATTATCTTGTCATCAACAATAAACCCTCCACCTCCATTTTCATCCTGTATAATGACCTGTGTTTTTCAAATGAAAAAAATAAGACCCCACACATACCAACCTAACACTGATTGTTGGCAAAACAAAAGAACAACAAAGCCAACCAAATGGAGATTTGATATTGGCATCAAGTTACTTAAAACTCCTGCGAGGCTCTGTTTAATGTTCTCTCAACAGAGCTGTGTCCTCCAATAAAAATATCCACCAGATTGGCGGCAGCAGAAACCGACCAGCTGAGAGATAGGAGACTAACACTGAAATGAATGGCTGTTAAACTGACTCAGCTGCAGACAGACGGTGAATCAAACACAAAGATGTCCACATGTTGAACAATTTACTGAAGCACAAAGAGAGAGACAGAGAGAAGAGGGCACACAAGAGCTAGACACGCATCTAAACATTCACACACACACACACACTGATGAAGAATTTGAAAGTTGGCATAGGAAAAGGAAATTGTTCACTGTGGTACACTTTTCCTCTAAAACAACCGAGACTCCAGCTATGCATCATGGGAGTGGCATCCTGAGAAAAGATTTTCATTCTTTGCAGTTCTCAGTAGTTTGCACACAAAGTCAGAACAAGAAGACAATTATGTTTCCCATCAGGCGTTCAGATGTGGACTGTGGTCTGTTAATAAAAATATGAGGCTTCATTTGTGTATGCAACTCTAAATTTGTACATTTGGTACATAAACAAGTACAGGGGTTTTATTTGTCTCGGACCTTTCCTTTTCATTATCAGTATAAAGTTGTGCAATCATGTTTTCCCCACCTGAGGCAAACATCCAAAAGTAAGAGACTGTGCTCTCCAGAAAACCAATAACATAGTTGTTACAAAGAATTCAATTTCAAGAAGGGTAATGATTGTGTGTTTAGATTTTAGCACAGTTGCGATGTGCGAAAAATAGTGTTTTCAAGGATAGGAGTGTTTGGCAAAAACGAAACCCAAACATATCATCTATCAATAAATATGTGATTGGCTTGCTAATTCATTTCAATTGTATTTATATAGCACCAGATCATAGCAGTTATCTCAGGTCATTTTCATATAGAGCAGGTCTAGACTTTCCCTTTTATAATTTTAGACACCCATTGATTTCTCACCCTGAGCAACTCCCTTTTAACAGGTGGAAATTAGCACCAGGTGTTAAGTGCCACTTACTAAAGCCCTTACGATGACTACCATCCTAATTATCCTACATATACTATTATATTCTGTTTTTATTTTATATGTTTAAAACTTTCATACACGGTACACACTAGAAGACACTGACCAGGCCATTGTATTCCTTCATGTGTGTGACCTTCCACTGTTCCCACTGGATGTCCATAGAGGCTTCATCCAGGCGGCCCAGAGCCGAGGCTGCCAGCAGCAACACACAGACACACTGCAACATCCTGAAAGAACAACAACACACAAAAGCTCATTATTATGTACACCAAATCAGTCTCAGATACACATAAGAATGTTTACTAAGATTAGAGTGCTGGCTGGAACTTTGTTTAAACGTTGTTTTTGTAATTCATTTCAAGAGTAACTTAGCTGCACAGAACTGAACAGACAGGTCACCAGGGGAATGTACAACAGGGCTGGAATTTTTTTCAGTCAGGTGTGAAACTCAAACCCCCACAGTAAGTAAAACGGATCTAAAATGAAACATCACTTTGTATACGTTTCTGTTGAGTGGTTTACTGTCACATGATGGTTTCAATGAGTTTTACACATTTTTCCCACAGCTCTAAAACACCTGATTTGGAGGGGAAAAAACAGTACTCAAGTCAGTGATATGAAACAACTGCTGTTCTGAGAGGTCTTTTTTATATTCCATTAGTCTGGGTAAAATATTGCTACGAACATCAGCAGCTTCATTCCAAAGATATGAGTCCCAGACACCAGGTAAAGAATCAAACTTTGGTGAACTACACACTGTAGCTTAACTTTTTGTTGTTGTCAGAAAAGTTCTCTTTTCAGGGATTCAGACACTTTCCACTTTTGCTTATCTCTGCTTTCCTGCCATCTGTCATTCATCAACTTCGCCCTGTTTCTCCCTTGTTTTTACCACATCCTACTTTTAATCTGCATTTGCATCCATTATTTCCAATAAAGGTCATCGACCTGTTAAGTTGAACTAAACTGAAGGCAGAAAACGAACCGGTTCCTTGGAGGCTGTGCGAGCTTAACTGCTTTACGCTGTCTGCTTCCTACACACATTGATTATATGTAGTATGGCTTCACCCTTGGTTGATTTGATGGAAATTCTATGATTTAAATAGCAGGGTTTTGTGATCTATGCAAATCATTTACAGTTAATCCAAAACATATGCGCTCTGTGCTCTATTACTGCATGAGTCAGAAGAATTCTCTCCAGTGAGGTCTTTTTGTTTTAGGAAATTAAATCATGTTTTTTTCCTTGAATTTGCCACGTTAACTCTGCATAGGTTAACACTGCAGCTCTGACTACCAAAACTCTTTCTGTTAAGGTGCAACTGGGTCAAAATCATTCTCTAATCCTAATCCTATTAAGACTAATTGCTTTCTTAGCGGGCAAAAATACTTTATCCAAGCCTAAATTCAAAGGGAAGAAATCTTAAGAGTCAAGTCTTTCCTGGTAAGTCAATGCATGTAATGAAGTGAGTTCTGTATAGTTTTTGTTCAGCTCACTTCATTACATGCATTTTAGTTTACCTTTAGTACAAAGTCCATTCAAAGACTGATTTTTACTAACTCTAAAACTACCCCTGTTCAAGAGAAAGATTCACAAAACTGAAACTAAAACTCTTTACCAGGAAATCAGTAAACAATAAACTTTACCTTAAGTCCAATAGTCAAAGAGTTCGCGAAGTCCTCTGAGTCTAACACTGTCAGAGTCAGTCAGAGTGTGAGTTTATATCGGTTGAATTTTGAGGAAGTAAAATGGGAGCTCCTGGTCTGGGGAGGAGTTTCTTGTTTTCCAGGCTGAGGAATTACATCTGGTTTCAGTTGAATAAACCAGATGATGTCAGGTGTCAGATTACACAGGCTACAGAGGCTGGCACTGAACTTAGCGCTCTGCTGCTTCTATTATTTATCAGATCATTGTAAAACATGAACATGTGTTTAGAACAAGAATGTTTTATCTTTAAATTTTACAATAGTTTGCTTTCAGGTCTATGCTGAATCATTTCAAAGAATATTTCTATATCTAATGTAGTTGAATGGATGAACCTTGAGGCCTTGGTGACATTGTTCTGTACTGAAGAAAGTTCTATATTGTACCACATGTATAGACCGAGTCCAGTCTGTTAGGTATTGGCAACAAAAGCACTTTAGTCAAGTTTAGGAAAAGATTGTGGTTTTGGATAAATGCTAATAAAGTAAAACAACCGGTTCTCACTCCCAAGTAGTCACATGTGGTCAACGAATGGTCAAGACGCCTTGGCGTCAGTTTGTAACGCACTGGTAGGTCCCTCAGTGTATATTAACTCACTGGAGGAAGCCCTGTAGTGTCATTTATGAATGCTTAAAACTGGTGTAGTATATAAACAACAGAAAAGTCAGAGTAAAGAGGTGGTTGGGCCAGAAACCAGACTGGTGTTCTTTTTCCATGTGAAACAAAAACGTCAGTGCACATAACCTATGTACGTAACACACATATTTTAACCCAAACAATGATGTTTTCCTAAACCTAACCAAGTAGTTTAAGTGCCTAAACCTAACCAAATTGTGCCGTTTCACAATGTTACCCACTAGTTTTACTTTGAAATTCTTACTGGATGATGCATATCTATTAATGCCAACTTGACCGGACATTGCATATTAAACGTTGCTAACTTGACCAGTGTGCCTTACTCTAAACTAAAGGGGGTACTCAGGGCAATAAAAAGCAACATCAAGGGGTCTTGACCAAGCGTCCATATGTAAAGAGTTGGAAGTGAGTATGTTTGTCAAGTCTTTAAACTTTTTTAAATTTAAACCAACACAATGATCTTTCCCTAACCTTAGCCAAGTCCTGTGAGTTACTAAACATAACAAAATGTATCATTGTGTATTGTATTGCAAGAGTGGATATCATTGGGAAACAAATAAAAAATGTTGTTAGTGAACATTTTATTGATACATTACGCATCAACATTTTCCTTCAGTTCTGTGCACCTTATTACGATATATTATGTTTACTGTTAGGCAGGATGGTAGGCTATGTTCAATTTTATGTTACACTTTAAAAGAAGCTGGCTCCAATGTAAGTCACGTGAATGTAAAGAGAATTTCTGCAACTATAAAAAAAAATGCATATGAAATAAATTGCCTACCCCAGCTCTAAGTTATGTAAGTGACTTAAGTGACGTAAGGGATGTAAAGGACAAAACTTACATAGGAACGTCAGTTTCAAACAGGAGGGCGCTGTTTCAGCGTGTGAATGCTAATATGGCTATAATCACATGTCATAAGGCCATGATTCAGTGAGAAAGACATTATCATTAAGGATGTAACAAAACAATTTCCACTAACTTTATGATCAGCATGAAATAAAAAATAAAGTCGAGAAAAATCATTTGAAATGTAATAATTTAACATTATTAGTACATGAACACAAGATACAAGATTTGATCACAAGCATTAACCTATTTAAATAAATTCCCACGCTAGAGTTAAAATAGATTTTTACCGTATTTATTTTCTCTGACATATCGTCTGTTTTTTGGTAGATACCGTACGTACTTCCTCACGAAGTTAGTCAACAGTCTAATGTGTCACGTCTGTGTATATATATGAACATGTCGTATGACTGCTACAGTCACACAGCAGTCTAGCACATGTAGTCACTTGTCTAAATATAATAATGTCCCGTGTACCTCATATGTCCCATGATACATTGCTGTGTTGCAGCAAGTTACTCATACATGTAATCAGGTCTGAATGAACAAGAGGATTTAGTGGTACTACAGCTAGTTTTAGTACTGATTATACTTTTACCAGAGCAGTAGCAGATCTATTATGGCTACTACACCACAGCTTATAATTCAATAACAAGGAGACGCTTTCATGTGAAGTGCTGATTAGCAATACAATGAGTTTTGAGTGTGACTGGCCTCACTGTGTTTGTTCTGTGGCAAAATTCGATCCAAATCAGATTCTGATATAATTCAAATATTTCATTTTTACACTTTTTCTGTTTGAACATAGTAATTTCTCCCGAAACACAAAAATAAAACAGCTGTGAAGCCTAGGAATGACTCATTAATGTCTGTTAGTAAGTATATTTGTCTGTTCAACACTTTGGTCCAGAGCAACATAAAGCGACTGGCCAGACATTATACATAATTTGTGCCATCATCATCATCCACTCATGTTCTAAGACGAAGAATAACAAAACACTTCACATGTTCTTCACACATAACACTGTCAGAATTTAGGAGTTAATGGTCTAATTCTGTGCGACCTCCACTGGCTACCCATGGCTTCCCAAATCAGATTCAAGTCACTAATACTTGCATACAGAGTGACTACTGGGTCTAAACTCCATAATACAAGTTTACGTTCCTTCTCGGCCGCTGCGCTCCTCCAACGAACGCCACCTGGCTCTGCCATCCCTTCACACAAAGCAATCCCAGTCCCGGCTATTCTCATCTGTGACACCACGATGATGGAACGAGCTACCACACACCATCAGAGCAGGGGCGTCCCTCTCTAACTTCAAGAAGGTCTTGAAAACTCATCTCTTCCGAGAACACTTCCTCTTATAACACCTCTAACTCCTAACATCTAACATGCACTTTCCGTGATCTTCTTCTATCTATTCTTCTTCCTTACAGTTATCTTGTATTGATTGCACTTTTTGCACTCTTACATTTATTCATTTAGCTGACACTTTTATCCAGAGCGACTTATTTCTTTCCCCAGGTATTTACCCCATCGATGTGATATGTGCTATTAGCTCTTACTAGTATGTATTGTTAGTTGTAGATCTGTGCTATATTTGATGCTTGTATGTTGTTCCTCAAATGTAAGTCGCATTGGATAAAAGTGTCTGCAAAATGAGTAAATGCAATGTAAGTCACTAAATGGGTGTAATAAACATTGTTGCCTCTTGGGGGCATGGTTTTGGCCTTTGAGTTAAATTTTTCAATCTGTTTCCTCCCCTGTGTGTAATGTAACACTTTGTTGTAGGTGAAGGTCTAAAACCTTTCTGACAGTAAAATGCAGTCAGTGCCCTGAACAACATGAACTGATGAGAATTTTTAAAAAATACTGCTATCTTTCTCTTAAGTTAACAGCTTCAACGCCCCTCAAGGTCACAAGCAATCTCTGGTGCTCTGCTAAGATCTCCATTGCGTCACGATCTCTGGTGTGTTAAGTGCAGCACCGGCGAACGGCTCCAGGCCTGGCCTCTCATCACCGACAGCTCACTATCTATCTGATTGATGGGTGCTTTTTTTTCTGGAGAGTCTGCTCGCTGGATTTCACCAGGCAGCAGAGTGCATTTTAAGATCCTTTAAGACTCTTTCTCGAGGTTCCTCTATGGCCACTTTAGATAATGAGACTCATACGATAGTGTATCTATTGATCCATCATCCAACCCCCCCCCCCCCCCCCCCCAGCACCAACGAACAAGCAGCAGGTCATGACCTGTGTGTAAATGTATGTGTATGTGGCGTGATGAAAGGGGGAATGGCTACAGGCGGTGATAGATTTATAATCCAATATTCCTTACTAAGGTGGTTACCAAGCGTTCGATTGCACTATTTTCATCTGCAGTGTTAGAAAATCTATTAATATCTCTATAAAGGCTGACGTTGAGAATGTATTTCTATAATCCAAATGCTCTGATGTGAGCGGCGTGCGATTATCTTATTATTGTGATTCATTTTCTGTTCTACTCAGATTCCTCATTGTGTGTACTGGAAAGTAATCTGAGGCACTGTCTGACAGCAAATTCCTGTTTTCCTTCCTCTTCCCCCCTCTATGAGGCTACATCTGTTTCCCATTTGCACACATACCAAAGCCACCACAAAACTGAAAAACTGCTGAGCTCCCAGGATCCTCTGCTCCCATCATGTGATCAACACTCTGACTCAGGCCATCATGGGATGCCCGCTTCTTGCTATTACAGGGCTGAGTTGGCTCTGTACGGTAATAGCAAGAAGTAATCTTGCATCACATCGATGGGGCAACTGCAGAGAACTCTGAATGACATCCCATTTTCTATATGGATTCCTGATCCATAAGACTCCCTTGGGGACAGATTACATAACTCTAATGGTGTTCCCTGTTGAAATGAATTGTGTTATAGGCACTAAAAAACATAATTGAGATTCTTCCTCTGTGCCAATCTACTGAGAGAGCCCAAGAGGGCTTAAATCCTGATTTTAACTGTGTGCACTTTTAACTGACCAGTACAAAGATTAGCACCGCAGACACCAAAGAGGTTTAAAAGGCTTGTTTTGATTCCAACAGATTAGACTGTGTTGTTTATTTCATTCCAAACTCAGATTATTTGTCGAGAGAAAAACAAGAGGTGTATTCACTGTGGCCAAAAGTTGTTTTCACCACAGTAAATACACTTCTTGTAAGAGTTTTGGGATTTTCTTCTTTTTCTGAATGTGTGTGAATGTTTTTGTGTAAGTAAAACAGAAAGTTCCCTGTTGTGCACTTAATTTGTTGTCAACTGCTATGTATATATATATATATATATTTAGAAATAAAGATAGTCTGCAGAGTCTGCAGGTGAGATTAAAAACTGAATTCTTTCCAAGCAAGCAATAGGTTTAATAAATTGTCTTTTAGGTCTTTTTACTATTTTTGTCTTTTGTGTTGATGAGTTTAACAAATCAATACTGCACATTCCTGGAGAAAAGGAAACCTAAACTGCTGCTTTAGATGTATTGATCAGTCATTAATGTAATCTTTATGTTATCAAAATAAAGTCCAAAATAATAGCAAGATAATGTGCACGTGTGTATTTCTGCCAATTCCACAAAATAGAAAGAA